TCGAATATGTGATTCTCTTTCCGTGTTAATATGCAGATATTTGTAACAAAGATAATCCACGTTAACTGTGACCAGTGCTAGTGGTTGCTTCTTCATTTGAAATATTATTTGTCCTTGATTGGTGCAGAGCCACACCGTGGCCACGGTCCAACATGAGTGACAACATACACTGCTGTTATCAATCTAAAAAAAAAGTTTTATTAGGATTATGGTAATCTACGTTAAAGGTAGTTGATCAAATACATTGTAAAAGGTATTCAACAAATCCACACGCTCATTCAATAACTTACCAGCTGAAGAGTCATCCACTGACATTATAACCAACTGAACTTGAATAAGCTCTAGGCTATAATCGCCTCCTCTGCATCATGGCAGCTACACAATTGATACATATCATAGGTTCCTCATGAGATTGAGGAATTGCTGGTTGCATTATCCAAAATCGGGCTGGGGTCAACATTGGGGCTCGGGTCGGAGTCTATACGTAAGCCGTGGTCGGCGTTTGGGCAAGGTTCGATGTCCGAAAGTGAGCCATTGGTCATTGGTTGTTCAAGAGTATGCCAGGGTCATCGGGAAGGGAAGCATCGAGGACCATGGTCAAAAAAATAAAGTCGTCAAAAGGGAAACTTATACAACACTCTTCTGCTTTTATTTTGGCAAAGACTTGGTTTTAAGAACTAAACAACACTCACGATGAAAAATACAAAACAAAGCGAATGACAGATAAAATAAACAGCTGTGATAATATTTTCAGTGTTGCCATGCTAATAATGTGTTGACGAATAAAAATAATCGATATAAAAATCGATTGTATTTTTTGATGACTCGAAATAAGGTGTNAGTTATTTTAATATTTTTGGTAGTGTTATTAGAATATTATAGTTCCAAAATACTGGACTGTCCTGTCGATGACATTGACAGCGGGGCGCCACCGTCAATACCGAATCGCTGGTTCCGATTTTTGCCATGTTGGAAACCATATAGTTGAACGATGGTAGCGCCCCCCTGTCATTGAGTTTGGCGGGACAGTTCAGCGTGGGTCATCTATAACCGGTGTTGTTTGTATGGAGTTTGACAGGTTTTTGACGTTTGTCAAATATGGGCGGCGTACCTTTTTAATTATTATTATGAGCCTAAATAATTATGAAATATATAGAATAATATGTAATTTAATTATTTTTGTATAAAATTAATATATATTTTATCGGTTTTATTTGCCGATCACGTTTGCTGTAGATATCCGGTTCCGTTTAGTTTATAAAAGCGAATATAATTAATAGATATTTTTAAATATAATTTAATCAATTTATAAATAGTTTAAAATATTTATTCAGTATTTTAAAAATATATTTTAATTATGAAATGAATTGTTAATAAAATAAGTCTATTGAGTGACTTGTTTTGTACAAAGTGTCGTGAGTAGTGGTGGGGTTGTTTGTCACTTACACACAGTATTTAAGTCATCTGTCGTTGTAGCGATGGCATTCGCATTTGAACCGTGTTATAAGGTGTTACTCTGCCCGATTGTGATCAAGTGTAATATTGTAATTATAAATAAAATTACAAGTGATTATTGAAACTTAAATGGTCTCATTTATCACCCGAAATGGAACCCAACGAACGTGATGGCGGAATACCGCCGACATACCTAATCTTAGGAAAGTTTGTATGTCTCATAATCAATGAGGGCTATCGTTTTAGCGCTCACCAGTTTGCGCCACTGTAGAGTAAGGTCCTGTCACTTGCTAGTAGCGAAGACAGTGGCACCAACTGGTGAGCGCTAAAGTGGTAGGAGGACTATCGCATTTGCACTCATCAAGATGGCGCCACTGTAGAGTAAGGTCCTGTCAATCGCCAGGGGTGCCAACTGTTAAGTATAAAAACGATAGCCCTCATTGGCGCTAACACCGCTTTGAGACCAACATTTGGCTAATCTTAAATATCATGATAGTTATGCGTCTTATTGACGGCGCGGCCATAATGTAGTCAAAAAAAGCTCATTAAACACATTTCAGTTGCAATATCGCAACTGTTACAACTAGGTACCTACCTGTACTACCTACATTTAAACCTGGACATGGGATCGCCTAATATTTTACCTTCTTCAGACTTGTCAAAATTCAAAATTAAATAAAAAAAAATTTAATGCTCAATATTGCTCAATTCAATTAATATTCAACTGCAGCCCTTTATTTTAAGAAAAAATCCAGGAACGGGAAGGACTAACGCGAGACACTGCCGTGTCATTTTTGCACAAAGCTGTAAAAATAAAACGACATTTCCACCGTTCCGTTTTGCAGAAATAAAGCGGGAGTTAAATCATTACACGATAAAATTGTGCTATCTCATTTATTTTTAGAAAGAATTCTTTGTTCTTGTGCTTTTTTAATGTGTTAGTTTTTAGAGATGAAAGATTCGCGGTATTTAATCATGCAATACAATTAAAAGCTTGACGGTATCGGCTTCAGACTGCTTATAAGCCAGTTCAACTCCCTACGATCGCTAACTTCTTACCCACCACAAGGTTGGATATTACACTATTTTGGATTCATATTTTAATATGTAAAAGAGCACCCATCTACATAACGCTATTATTAATGTGCTTGATACAGTATTCTGTAGGTACATGATTTGTATTCAAAAGAGGATTTATAATCCAAATCCAAGATCTAAACAATAAATATTGCCAACTTACAGTAAAGTTTGGCCTCAACAATTATGCAAATCAAATATTTTGCTGGTCGACGATTTATTTATAAGTATCCGATTGTTCGTCGACAAATTCTCCTAATAAGAGAGCACTTGAAGGAAAACAATGTTATTTTCACTAGCACCCAAAAGGCACTGAATTATTTTGCATCCCAAATTGAGGGAAGTCGAGTCGAGGATTTAACAAGCGATAAAATCGTATTAAAGATGGATTATGAAGAAACATAACAAGTCCTGTTTTGTGAGTTGATTTAAATTTGAAGAAAATGCCCGTAATTTTTCGGGAAAAATAATCTAAGCAATATTTTTTAACTTAAAGTGGATCCTGTTTCCCATATTCTTTTACGTATTATAAGTCATTAAATTTAAGTAAGGTACACCACTCTAATGATGTCTCACTATGTCACTATCCTAACCTAACACTAGATTTGTTACAACTGAAATAAAAAGTCACTAAAACATCACAACGTACAAAACAATAAATATGAGAACAATTTATATTACCGAAAAGTGACTTGTTTAACAAAATGTTACCAGTAATATATCAAACAGCGATCAACTTATTAAATATTGACCTCATCAAATAGTTTTCCTATTTATGTAATACTTCTGACCTATGACATAGTTATTTTTGATACAAAATATTGTTATCCTACCCACTTTTCCAACTTTTATCTCAGTGTGGGCGTTCCATTTAATACTTTTAGCGATTAAACCGGTATTTGTCGTTTTATAGTAATATTTTGCCTTATGTATTTTGTAAAATACATAGTTGTGACTTTGTGAGATACCTAAGCGACAGATTAAGCAAATCCCTGTTTTAGGAAGTTTGTTTGATTTCTTTTATCGAAGCTACAAAAACTAAACATATAAATGTTTCAGAAACGAATTTGTGTTTCTGATAGTAAAAAATTTGTTTATCTTTGTAAGGTTAAAATTAATAATCTTTGTGTGTGAATCATTTAAATATGAATGGACCATTTACTTCGTTGTTTTTAAAATGTTTCTATGGAATTACTTTTATATGGAAAAAAGTAAATCGGATAAGTTTCACGAAATTTAACTAGAATTGGGAACTGAAACACATTTTTATGATATTTTTAGGATTCGATGACTTTCAGACATATCACTATCTACTTAAAAATATTAACGCGCTTGAGAAAGATATCATAATAAACAATATCTAAAACTACCTTGATCGTTGTTTAATTAATTTAGGCAAAATAGAATTCAATTTGTACCTACAACCAATTCATAACAAAGAATCTTGACACTTAACAATATTGGTGTTTCACAGCAAAAATACATATTATGTAGGTATTCATAATTCATAGCATTATCCAAAACGTGAATACGCAAAACAATACCGTTATCTCATTCAATACACAAGTAAATAAAAATCTAAGTAAATATGTCTTCCACAATATTCTCCGAGTTGATTCAGTAAATATTTTTCTCTGAAACACCAATCAAGTGAAATTGAGGTTCTTTATTGCGCTGTATAAAAGATAAAACAGAATGGATTATATCCACTTAAATACAAGTCTCGAATCCATGAAACTTGTACTTTTATACGCTCGAAGCCTTAAGGAGACTTTAGAAGAGTTCAACGAGACTTTGAACCTTACGAAAACGTTCCACAATTGTGCACACTTTATAAGAATGAGGGTTATGGCACAGTGCTAGCAGAGTAGGTAACGAAAGCGTCGAAGAACTATGAAGATTTCTTTCAGAAATGTTTTATGGAATTGACAGGTCTCTGCATGTTGGCTATGTTGACAACTGCTCAATTTTTTTGAGTGTATATTTTAACTCATTACAACAGCCACTACTAATTATCTGAAGGGTTAGGGCCTTAGGGAGAGCGCCCAATCTCTTACAAGTGCCTATCATTTTTCTATAGTCTCTTAGTAGTCTCTTTGTACTAGTTTCTATAGTATGTTTAACCAAAGGATGTCTACGCTAGACAGAGGTCTCCCCCAAGGATTTTCACTACGGCCAGTCTACCCGCATCTAGATATGTCCAGCAACCTTTACAAAATCATCGGCCCACTAAGTGGGAGGACTTTTTACGGTAGTAAACAACATATACTATTCTGTATTATTTACTCAATATCATAGAAACTTTACAATAATCCACGCAGAATTCCCTGTCAACATCAGTATTCCCGAATCCAGACAACCACAAGTAGACACACTAGCACATCAAGCTTAACACTGTGGGATCTAAAGTAGTTGTAATAAGCGCGATTTTGCGACTACAATGTAAAGTCTGATGACCGTACATTGTCCACAACATACTCGAAAATATTAAAACAAATATTTCTGACGCAAGAAGTAAGTAAACAAGAGCAGTAACATATTTTGTAAATAAAATGTTTTAAATTTTACGCAAGTTTTCCTTTGATGATTTCTGTAATTAGGTACAGTTTATAAATATTGGTATTGCATAAATTTTATAAATAAAAATAATTGGACAAAGGCAAGTAAAAGTATTTTAATTATTTATTAAAAAATCCGTCATAATACTCGTCCAACCTACTTGAGTTCAAAAAGGTAAGAAATTTGCTGCTTCTACGATTGACAATAGTCATTGCATTCTTTTTATTTTAAAGGTCATAGCACACTTATCAACCCCGAAAGCCGCGAGGCGAGGCGAGGGGTTTACGTTACGCTGCGGATAAGTGTGCGTGGCAGTACGGAGTTTCATACAAAGAACACTGACCGCGTCGAGTTGATACGGTTACGATCCGTGTCCGTTGATAAGTGTGCTTAGTTCTTAAGGAAGATAGTAGATACACAAGTTATTTTTATTAATAAATCACAGTTAGGCACTAGACTATATTATTATGCACGAAACTTCTATTCGAATAGTAGCATTGATTCCAAATATGACAATATCGTGTAATAAATCATTACAGAGACATTACATTAGAATTTATATTATATTTTATACGATTAGGTATTGTATTATAAAGTAAAACCTAAAAATCCATATTCTTTATTTGATTACTTCCTGGACATGTTGCAGATATAAGAATGATTTTAAAATGTAGGTATTCTGTATTAGTCGATTATTTCACATTTATTATTTGATTGGTATTTAATGTAAATATTCTAGAATTTTTATTGTATACAGTTTAGTATTGTAGAAATAAAAATCAGCTAATATTTTTAATTAAATATTGTACTTGACTACTTCCGGGGCATGCCGTCGATAAGTCGTTTGAGATGGTCGATTTTGACGAATGGAAGGGGAAGTGACGTGATCGCTGGCATGCCGCCGGACAGGAGCTTAATTGGTTTGTAGCATTGGCTCAGTAAAGACCTCAAATCCCTACGTATATAGTCCTAGTTTTAAATTGTAATAAATGTATTTTTTGGAACCAACAAATAAAAGGTGTAAAGTATCTGGAGTTTATATTTTATGAAAATCGCAATAACCCGCTGCCGCTTGTGTTACATTTCAGCCTTAAAAATAACGTCTAAATAGCAGCTAAAGCCGGGCGTCGTGTGAATGTTGTGAGAAATTGGTCTATTTCTCAATACGACCCGAATGGTAATGAAATTGCGGGAATTTTTCCAAGAAAACAAAGGTAGCATGAGAAATTGTTGCTTGAGCACTTGTAAAATGCGACTTTTAGAGGCTCGCCGAGTTGAATGGGAAGATTCTATTAACAATGCCTTATTTGGTTCCTCAAAAGGGGTCAATAAAGGCTGGAGTGTAAAAAATCGGTACCTAGTCTACATCTGAATGAATCTAAAAATTCTTAGTTTGTCGGTGACCCTAATAAACCCAAAGAGTCTTTATTAATATTAGTTTCTTTAAAGTAAACAGCCACGAAATAATTATCACCAAGGGAATGTATGTCATGGATGTTTAGCGTTAATCCATCTTGAACGAAACCCTATCAATAACAATTGCTAGTGATAACTATTAATTTTGTGGTGATATTCTGAAAATTTCAAAATTCCTTTGTGTAAGTGGTAACAGGCAATTTAATGTAACAGTAGGCGTTTAAAAGAACAAAAGCTATTTGTAAGAATATACCTATAACCTCTACGAGTATAACATACTTACTCGAACGTCTCAACATTTAAAGGTAGAGCTTCTTAGCACAAAAGTTGGCATGAAACTAAAAAATAAACATCTATAGCGGTAAGGCCCAGTACAGACGGTGAAACGCATCTGCAACGAAACTGCAACTTTGTGATGATTCTGATGAATGAAACTGAAACTGAAAGTTTCAAACTCGTCGCGTCATGTGTGGTCTCTCAACGGACGCTATGGCAGAAACTTAGATGCTACTCAAAAGTAACTAGCAGTTGCAGTTTCGTTGCAGTTGCGTTTCACCGTCTGTTCTGGGCCTAAATCAACACTTCTTACTACTGAAGCACATTATTTTAAACACTAGTCAATCAAAATAATATAAATTAGATTATTAATCCATAGTATACTGCTTTTCTTGAACTCTACAGTGTTTAATTTCACCTAAGTTTCCCAAGCAACATTTTTGCACACACACACACATTCATCCCGTAACGCTTTGAGAAGTATTCGAACGTGATGTTTACGGTCATTTAAAACCGTTTAAGCCTTTCCACTTAAGGGGGAGGGGGAGGGGGATCGTCTGGATATCCTTAACGTAACATATCAGTGTAATCTTGGGTAGGGTGGAACAGAGATAGGGAGAAAATTAAATGTTTTGGTACTAGGGTAAGCTCGTGACTACGTCTGTGAATTTAGAATTACGTAAATCGCATATCTTTTGGCAGTGTAAAAGATAGTTGTGTGTTATAAAGACGACCAACGCTACCATCTGGAAATCATTGACGGAGGTATATGTTTAGGAATGGATGCCCTGTGGCTGAAATGATTTATTTATTTTTATTGGGCTATCAACATGAGATACAGTATTAAACACAATAAAAAAAATTAAGCCAAAGGTCTCTAGCTAACTGCTCCCACACAAAACGATAACCACAGCATGCATTTTATTATAATGTAAGCAACTCTTATGATAATGGCACACGACCGAGATACGTAAGGAAGGAAAAAAATACTAAGTAGGTGGATAGTGGATACCATCTGCTTACCTTTATTTTTACAATTTATCAGATTAAACATATGTCTTCAATAAGCTAAACAATTTTTATTGAATAAAGTTTTGTTTCCATTTTAAACCAAAAACACACAACATTTCCGTAGAACACCTACTGCTTCCGACCTTTGTTTCGGAGTACCGCAATAAAATACCTGTTATTGTCTATAAAGCGAACAGTGAAATAAATAGCTAAATCCATAAAGATAAAACTGGGACGCTGAAGTGCAATCCTTAAAACCCTCGACTTTGTAGTTTTATGCCTCGTAAACTACAGTCAATCTGCAGTCATTGGGTTTACAACTTCAAGACATTCAGTTAAAATTGTTTTCCAAGGTGATAATATGACGCGTGATTGACAGATAAAATAGCAATGGGGCGTAAAATAGAGAACTTTCAGGAGGAAAATCGCTATAGCATGGTCGGTCACCTTGTAAAAAGCGAGCGAGAGAAAAATCTTTCCGTTCCTTCGTTTCAGCCAAATGACGTCCACCGCTGGACAAAGGCCTCCCCTAAGGATTTCCACAACGAACGGTCCTGGCACCTTCCGCAACTTTCACCAGATCTTCTATTTGGTCGTCGTTTCAGCCAAATGACGTCCACTGCTGGACAAAGGCCTCCCCCAAGGTTTTCCATAATGAACTTGAAATTCTATTTGGTAGGTACTAAAGATTGTAATTACATCAACGCGCAAGATCATTAGTCATCTTATTTTTAAGGAGGTACCTACTTTTGTTATTATTTCAACATCTTCATCATCATCATCAATGGATGCCTCCCGCAATGATTTTCATATTTCCCGGTTGGTAGTGGCCTGTATCTACCTTCCTTCTACCGCCTTCTTGCTACCTCTATGAGGTCATCAGTTCAGTGGGTGGTTTTCCGGTGCGTTACTTCAACATTCATTAATCAATTCTCACTTATTAGTATTCAATGGACCTCAATTTGATGAAGGCCGCCATGGTCATGATCGCCCATTAATAGGTTGAATTAATTATGCAGGTGAAACATTAATTGCCATGAAAGCAATTAACATCGTAGCTACTCGGTCAGGTGTAATGGCCAGTAATAATACTGCTTACAAAAGGAAAAGCGGACCAGATATTACCAGTAATGACGTCAATATTAGTGTCATTCCTTTTTCTGGTAATGACAATCTAAATTGCTCTACTTACAAATAGCCTCATTGCACTATAACTGTCATTCCTTTATTCCGTTAATGTCATTACTTGAAAATATAATTGTAGTCTCGATGCAGACAGCACAGAACCATCATCATCATCATCATCATCATGTCAGCCATAGGACGTCCACTGCTGAACATAGGCCTCCCCTAATGCTTTCCACGTTGATCGATTGGTAGCGACCTGCGTCCAGCGCTTCCCTGATTTACGATGTCGTCGGTCCACCTTGTAGGTGGACGTCCCACGCTGTGCCTTCCGGTACGCGGCCTCCATTCCAGAACCTTGCTGCCCCATCGGCCGTCAGTTCTGCGCACTATGTGCCCTGCCCATTGCCACTTCAGCTTGCTAATCCGTCGGGCTATGTCAGCGACTTTAGTTCGTTTACGGATTTCCTCATTTCTGATTCGATCTCGCAAAGAAACACCAAGCATAGCTCTCTCCATAGCACGCTGTGCAACTTTGAGCTTCTGTATAAGGCCTATAGTAAGAGGCCACGTTTCCGAGCCATAAGTTATCACTGGTAACACACATTGATTGTAGACTTTCATCTTCAGGTATTGGGGTATTTTGGAAAAGATGTTACGTAGTTTCCCGAACGCTGCCCAGCCGATTTGGATTCGACGACGCACAGAACCAGTCGTGGTGGAAATCCTTGGGGAAGGCCTTTGTCCAGCAGTGCACTTCATGGGAGCGCCACGGGAGAGTGATTTTCAAACGTCAGCGAGACTTCAGATTTGTATGCCTTGTCACCTCATAAATCAATGTCACCCCTCCCATAGGTACCTCAAACCAGGGTTAAGCGCTAGATCTATAGTTAATGCTAGACACGTGACAATCCCTTTCTCTACTCGCTGTCGTTTTACTAAAATGCTGTAGTATTATTTCCTAAATGCGGTTCTTTCACCCGGGCCTCGGAAACTGCTGTCATTCACCGTTATGGATAACACAGACATTTATCTTTTGCTTCCTTCCTACGTGCTGGCAGATAAATCATAGAGCTTTTTCCAGGCGATTTGATAACCTATATGATGTACGGGGTATATCGGTTGTTGATGTATTGTGTAATAGAGGGAGAGACAGTAAGCTTAATCGCTAATTGAGAAGGTAGAAAGGTACAATGAAGCTTGCCTGATGAGATTCCAAAGTAAGGTTCTACTGCGATTCTTATAGGGATCTATTTGGCCAGGCTTTTTTCCAATTCAAAACTCAACAGTACCTACATTTTTAGGGTTACATAGTTAACCATAAGAAATCTACTAAGTCTGAGTTGCACTTCCTAATAATCGGTTATTGTTATAACCGGCTTTTTTTGTGAAGAGTTTGACAGATTTTTAACGTATGTTTAAGTTAAAGTAAGATGGTGCAACCTAGTCTAAATGTGTTTTTATTTCTTGATAAGCTAAAGTTTTATTTACCNCGCCGACAGCAGCGGTGGGATCACAATCCCCTATACTTGGTGGAGCCTTCAGAGATGCAGAATCACGACACGAGCCTACATTTTCCATGGATCAAGTGATGAGTTTATTGACAAGTGTGACGAAACAAGCAGCGTCGAGTGCAGTTACTGCGGCGATCTCTGCCACTCCTATGCCCCGTGATCGCAGCCATTTTTACCTCCCACCGTTTGATCCAGACATCCGTTCACATGACATCAGAGATTGGTGTGCGAATGTTGACGAAACCATCACTGCTTTCAACATTTCACCGCAAGAGGCACGCATGAAAGCTATTCTCCAACTGAAAGGACGCGCTAAGACATGGGCTGATACCTGGTCCCTACAATCCACTACTTGGCAGCAAGTGAAAGAAGACTTGATTCGAACATTTGGAAAGGAATTCCGGTATGCTGATGATGTTTACAAATGGCGTAGCTACACATCAGATCAAGCTGCCAGTTACGCCGAGTACGCTACGACGGGATGGACACTCTTCAAGCGGGTTCGGCCTGAGGCTTCGGACGCTGAGGTGATCGACGCTTTGATAACAGGTATTTATCCTGAATATATTAGGTCTGAATTATTAAGAAATACACCTGATTCTTTGCCCAAGCTAGTTTCTGTTTTAAAAACTTATCGCAAGCGTAAATTTGATAGTTCAGAAAAGCCTAATAACAGTTATATTAAAAGATCGCGTGTATCTGAAATCCCTGGAAGGAATGACCAAACTCTTACTTGCTACAAATGTAACAAACAAGGTCATCGTTTTCGTGATTGCAAGGAATCCACTACTCTTTCGTCTGTGCCGATATCTAAGTCAGATTCTGTTCAAGACCCTAGCGTTCCTAGTGTTTCTGTGAAGTCTGTCGAGTGCAAATACTGTCATAAATTGGGTCACGTAGAAAAGAATTGCTTTCGAAAACAAAATGCCGAACGTAACAGGGCTTCTCAAAATAAATCTGTATTTTTTTGTAATTCAGTGAATCGCAGTACCACAAAAGTGAAAATAGGGAATAGCTTTTACGACTGCTTATTTGACACAGGCGCCGATTGTTCATTAATTAGGCAACGGTTCTCTGGGTGTGTTCCAGGGAAAAGGAAATCTGTAAACGTTGTTTTTTCTGGTATCGGTGGTTACCCAGTGCGTTCAACCCAATCTATCACAACCATTGTTGAGATTGATAAAGTCAGTGTAGAGCTAGAGTTTTATGTAGTCGGGGATACGCAAACCCAATTTGACATTTTAATAGGCTATGACCTTTTGCAAATCCCTGGTCTCAGTGTTACATTAACTAACACTGGAATTTCAATAAATCAAGCCGCTAATGACAACGTAAAGGCTTTGAATGAGTGCTCAGTAACAGATTCTATTTTTGATCTTGACACTGATATTAAAGACCAGGCCTTGCTTGAACAATTAAAAAATACCGTAAGTAGCTTTCAAAAAAGTTTTACTACCGGAAATAATGTAACAAAGGTCAGTACAGGCGAGTTAGAAATTAAATTAAAAAATCCTGATAAAATTGTACAACGCAGACCCTACAGGTTATCCCCCGTTGAACGTGAGAAGGTAAAATGTATTATAAATGACCTTAAGAGTAATGGTATCATCCGCGACAGTTCTTCTCCTTTTAGCAGCCCTATTCTGCTCGTAAAGAAGAAAGATGGCTCTGACCGACTCTGTGTCGACTTTCGAGAGCTGAATGCCAATACACTTAGGGATCATTATCCATTACCTTTGATTGCAGACCAAATAGACAAATTAGGTAAGGCGCGTTACTTTACTTGTCTGGACATGGCCGCGGGGTTTCACCAAATACCTATTGCTGAAAACTCGATTGAGAAAACTGGCTTTGTAACACCCGACGGCCAATATGAGTTTTTGCGCATGCCTTTCGGTCTTTGTAATGCGCCTTCCGTTTATCAACGAGCAATTAACAAGGCATTAGGAGATTATAAAGATAAAATTGCTCTTGTTTATATAGATGACATATTAATTTTTTCTGAAACGGCTGAAGAAGGCTTGCATAATCTAAATCTTGTTCTTAAGCGCTTGACAGATGCTGGCTTTTCACTAAATATTGCGAAATGCTCATTTTTAAAAACTTCTGTTCAATTTTTGGGAAATGTTATCGAAAATGGCACTGTCAAGCCAAGTCCATTAAAAATACAAGCCCTGTCTAGCTCGGAAGTTCCTAAAAATGTAAAGGAACTCCGCCAGTTCAATGGTTTAGCTAGTTACTTTAGAAAATTTGTGCCAAATTTTTCTAAAATTATGATACCTTTATATGAACTAACAAAATCCAATGTCCCCTGGAACTGGACTGAAACCCATGAAAAAGCTAGACAAGAGATAATTAGCCGTTTAACATCATTCCCATTGTTGACAATATTTGACCCTGACTTGCCAACCGAACTGCACACTGATGCCAGTGCTCTTGGTTATGGGGCAGTATTAATACAGAGACAAGATCAGGTCCCCCATGTCATCGGCTATTTTAGTATGAGAACGACGAGTGCGGAAAGCAAGTATCACTCGTATGAACTCGAAACTTTAGCCGTTGTCAAAGCTATTCGTCATTTTCGCCATTTTTTATATGGCCGTTCATTTAAGGTCGTAACTGACTGTAACTCCCTTAAAGCCTCTAGGCACAAGAAAGAACTGACTCCTAGGGTACACCGTTGGTGGTCTTATCTGCAGTCGTTTCAGTTTGAAATAGAGTATCGCAAAGGAGAACGACTTGCCCATGCTGACTATTTCAGTAGGAACCCAGTGAATGTGACTAAATCACAAAAAAGCTCTGACGAAGTATCGAGCTCAGTCCCAACATTGCATTTCTCTCTTAATGCTTCAACTCTTGACCACAATTGGTTGCTCATCGAACAAAAACGTGACCCCGTACTTAAGAATATAGTGGACCAATTACAGTCCGACTCCATTCCCAAGAACATCGCAGACACTTATGTTATTTTACAAGACAAATTATTGAGACGTAAAGTACAAATAGATAAGAAAACGCGAAAATTGATTATCGTTCCTCGCAGTTACCGATGGAACTTAATTTCCCACTATCACAATTCTCTCCAGCACTTCAGTTGGGAAAAAGTATTGGCCAAAATACGAGAGCAATATTGGTTTCCTGACATGTCCAAACTAGTACGCAAATTTATTGAGAACTGTGTTAGTTGTAGAGTCAGAAAAGGAGTATCAGGTGCTAGACAAGTTTCTTTGCATCCAATTGACAAAATTTCTGTACCTTTTCACACGGTGCATGCAGATATTACTGGCCAAATGAATGGAAAACGTAATCGCGCTGAATATGCTTTCGTTTACATAGACGCATTCACTAAATATGTTCATCTTGTGTATTCAAACGATCGTACCTCAGATTCTGCTATTAGATGTTTTCGTGAAGTGATTACTATTTTCGGTACTCCCACTAGACTTATAACCGACCAAGATAAAAGCATGACTTCCTCGGATTTCAAACAATTTTGTCAAGATTTCGGCATAGAACATCATGTTGTAGCAAAAGGCGCTAGTAGGGCAAATGGTCAGGTGGAACGAATTATGAAGGTCATTAAAGATAACATGTCAGTGGTGGAGCTTGATAAGCCTTGGCACAATGCAATTCAAGATTTACAATTAGCCATAAATTGTACAGTCTCAAAAAGTACTGGTAAAAGTCCAATGGAATTATTATTTGGTAAAAAATGTCATCCTCCAGCTATCAAGCTCCTCCAAGTTGATGATGATGAACCTGTCGAAGACCTTATAGCTGTTAGGAATGCTTGTAAAGAAAGGATGGACGAGCGATCTATTCAGGACAAAATTCGATTTGATAAAGGTAAAGCAAAAATCAAACATTTTCAAGTTGGAGATTTTGTTTTAATGCGGATTCATGAACGTCATACTACAAAATTGGGACCCAAATTCGAGGGCCCCATGGAAATTTTGGAAATTCTACCTAACGATCGATATAAAGTAAAACACATCAATTTACGCGGATGCTCTGAAAAGATCGCCAGCCATGATTATTTAAGACCTGCTCCCGTCGGACAGGCAGACCCGTTCGATAAAAGTGAGGAATGTACCGCATGGGCGGATGATATCTTAGATAAGAATTAAGAAAATAATTACTAGAGCTAATTAGTGTGTAATAATGAAGTAATTCGTGTCAATTTAACTATGTTCCTCTCCACATTTCCTATCCTAACGCTGGCTGGCCACCATGCGTTTCCTTTCCCGGTCTTGGAGGCTAGATCCCAGGATGGGTGATGCCTGAATTGGTGTATTGGCTAGATCCCAGGATGGGTGATGCCTGAATTTGTGTATTGGCTAGACCCCAGGATGGGTGATGCCTGATTTGTGTTTTGGCTAGATCCCAGTAGAGGTGATGCCTTGGTTATTTGTGTGATTATGAATTTATTTTGCTATAGTATGATTTTGTAATGTTATTTTTATTTTTAAAAAATGTAACTTATGTAATTCAGCGCAGAGAGCGCGCTGGATCAGTATGGCCGTATGGGCGGCGTACCTTTTTAATTATTATTATGAGCCTAAATAATTATGAAATATATAGAATAATATGTAATTTAATTATTTTTGTATAAAATTAATACATATTTTATCGGTTTTATTTGCCGATCACGTTTGCTGTAGATATCCGGTTCCGTTTAGTTTATAAAAGCGAATATAATTAATAGATATTTTTAAATATAATTTAATCAATTTATAAATAGTTTAAAATATTTANGCATACTCTCGAACTACGAATCTCACTCAACCAATGACCAATGGCTCACTTTCGGACATCGAACCTTGCCTAAACGCCGACCACGGCTTACGTATGGACTCCGACCCGAGCCCCAATGTTAACCCCAGCCGACCGACATAGCCTAGAGCTTATTAAGTTCAGTTGGTTATAATGTCAGTGGATGACTCCTCAGCTGGTAAGTTATTGAATGAGCGTGTGGACTTGTTGCATACCTTTTACAATGTATTTGATCAACTACCTTTATCGTAGATTACCATAATCCTAATAAAACTTTTTTTTTAGATTGATAACAGCAGTGTATGTTGTCACTCATGTTGGACTGTGGCCACGGTGTGGCTCTGCACCAATCAAGGACAAATAATATTTCAAATGAAGAAGCAACCACTAGCACTGGTCACAGTTAACGTGGATTATCTTTGTTACAAATATGTTCCATAGACTGCATATTAACACGGAAAGAGAATCACATATTCGAAAATAATGTAATAATGGAACAGATTTCACCTCGTCAAGTAAGTTTTTTTATAATTATTTTCATTATATTTTATTAAAGACATTGGCTTGATATATTTGAACAAAGTGTATATTTTTTTATACTTAGGAATTCCCACGGGAACAGGAATTAGCGGGAAAATCCTTTTGTATGAAAAATCTAAACGCTTAGCGGAAGTTAGACGCTTGAAATTTGGCATGTAGGTACCTTATTAAACTTAAAGCTTATTTACAACAAGGAATTCCCGAAATTCCCACGGGAATTAGCGGGAAAATCCTTTTGTATGAAAAATCTAAACCGCTTAAGTTGACCTGAAGTGATGCAGTGACCGCGCGCTCTCTATCTCGAAAACGGTTCACAGTATAAAAAAATAATTTAAACAAAATGTGTAGAGAATTTAGTATTCTACAATATTGATAATAAATACAACTAGCAAAAACCCACAGGAAATGAGATATTTCTAAAAAAAGCGCAAAAAAACGATTTTTGTGACCGTTGACCTTGAAATTTTATAGTTGCTTACACCCTACCATATGTAGGTTTTGAGACAACTTTTAGGGTGTCAATATATACGTATTTACAGACTTACAGCTGGGTATCTCGAATTCCGAGGTGAACTTACTATAATGACTGGACTACATACCTATCGATGTTATCACTAGCACTAAAGACTAGTATGGGTGTTTTTTTTTTTGTGATTTAGATCCCTATTGGATCCATATGAAAAGTTACTGTTAAGGAGCCTGATTTTATGTTTTTGAGTTTATGGATGATAAATTGTAGATTCTCGATTCAAGGTGACGCTGCAATAGGGTCTTAAAATATTTTAGCGTCGGTAGAGTTGGCACATCACAAACACAAACGATGCTTGCTTAAGTGAAGCAACAAATCGAATGCACAGCGTTGAATAGAACTCTGTGATTGGTTCGTGTATGACCCTGTGCGTCCACGCGCATTGTGAGATCTCATTGTAATGTTTGTGAATACGGCTGAGTTGCACTACCTAACATGGACCGTAACTTTGAACGAGTTTGACAGATTTTTGACGTTTGTCAAACTCAAAGTAAGATGGTGAAACCCAGCCTTATATTGATTCCAACTGTATTTCAGTTGGTAGCCTTTTCAAGTGCGGGCATGTCAAAACGGGGTTTAAATATGATCCCGTAACCTGGATCGAGCGCGACCTTTCTGTAATACGAGGGAGGGCCTCCCTCCGAACGGTCAAGAGGCTTCAACTCCTAATGCACAGTTCCTGATGGATTGTGAGTACCATAATTGCTTTGATCACTCTTGCTTTGGTAAAGCAGTTTTGGAATACTTACCTAAATTATTATTATAGCGTAAAAGAGATATCAGAGGTACAAAACTAAGTTGTGGCGCCCTCGTGTCAGTGTCATGGCTGACATGGTTAATGTTGGGCATCATCTATTTACTTTTTTTGAATGTTGTATTTTTATTTTGTTTTTTCTCTTTTGTTTGTTAATAATTTTAGGCGAGTATTCCAGCTCTCTCCAAAATTGGTCACCGCAGAATAACCGCGTCATGTTCTGGGTTTTATTTACTACTTCAGAGCATGACACATGCTGAGCGGTGGCCAATTTTGGTTCTAACTACTTGTACTTGCTTTTATTATCTGTGTGTTACATTTTTAAGTTGGAACCAAATGTTTTTCTTTCTTTTTTTCTTTAAGTTAGAAGACAACTAGCTTTTCACTGCGACTATGTTTCCCTAGAGGGCCTAGATTTTGATAAATATGATGAAATCCCGTCCTATAAGGCGCTGATGTAACAGGAAAACCATTAAGTTTAATGAAAAGGGGTTTCGTATGTGTCTGTCGCCTACTTAGAAATAAATGTTCAAATACAATTTTACCGGCATAATTGATTTCAGATTAAGAGCTTTAAAACCTTTTAGTAAAATCTATCAAAAAAGCAATCACTATGGGATTACTTTGTAAAAGATAGTGAATTTGTTGGATAGCTTTTATTATTTTTCTAACGCGAGGAATAATGATTTACGCGTCCCAGGGGTCACACTACTAATTAAGGTTTACGTTTTCTGTAATAAAACTACTTTTTTACTGTCGATAGAAAATAATAAATAGGTTAGATAGGTATAGATAGATATCTTAAGAGCGCTTTCACTTAAGGCAGAGTAAATACAAATGAGTATGTCATCTTCATAGAAACGCACCGAGCGCGGTTTGTATGTGAGCGCGCGCCAATACGTATGCGGCGCGCACGCACACACTGACAAAATTTAGCGTTGATTAGAGGTGAGGTGCGCTGAATTTTGTCAGTGTGTGCGTGCGCGCCGCATACGTATTAGGCTCGGCGTTTTTATAAAGATGACCTACTCATTTGTATTTACTCTGCTTTAGGCGATTTAGAAGCGCGACAAAAATTTCATACTATGTGACAGCGGATGCACGCCGCTGCCGCGCTGCAGTCGCACTACTAACGCCCTAATGTGAAAGCGCTCTTAGATTGGGATAGTTTATCAAAACCTACCTCTATTTACGAGCTGTCATTACCGTACCTCAATCAGAGACTTGTCAGTCCCGTCCCACGAGTCCAGCCCCGCTCTCTCTTATCTTCACACCACAGACCACCTAACCGGTTACAGATCTCTTACATAATACATTCATCGTAAGCCCCTCATCCGATAGAATTTGTTTCCAAAGGCCTCATAGCCTACCGGGGAGGATTTACACCTGACGATGTTTACGGAGATCGTTTGGAAAAACAAAATGGCCGCGTTCAACGTAATGGCAATAAAGATTATCAGAAACTCTTGTACTAGGACGAAAATATACTTCTTATTGTTAAATAAATACAAATCATAATTTATATCCCCCTTTGTTTTCATACTGAATACTATTAAATATCTATACTAATATTATAAATGCGAAAGTAACTCTGTCCGTCTGTCTGTCTCTCTTTCACGCCTAAACCACTAAACCGATTTTGACGAAATTTGGCATAGAGATAGTTTGAGTCCCGGGAAAGGACATAGGATAGTTTTTATCTCGGTTTTTGAAACAGGGACGCGGGCGATAAAGTTTTTCTCTGACAGACAAAATTCCACGGGCGGAAAGCTAGTCTATTTATAACAAAGCCTTCTTGGAATATCGGATTATATTTTTTGCTTGAGGAAAAAGCTATAAAATCTGTGATTCTGATATTAATTAAAGTAGAACTCTATGATGTATCTACCGAACATTGTAATTTCTTCACTAATTATATTTTACCTTGTTTACTCTCCTCATTATTACAAAGTATTTGCGCTTCATAAAGATTTTCTAAACGAACAAAATCATCTTTAACTGACTGAAGTCGTGAAGTGAACGCTAACGTCGCAATTTTACACACGTTCGCCCGACTCAGTTGCAATTTTGCAATGTCGATACATTCAGTGATATTACAGCTAAATCGATGTGATGTCACGATGTTCAAGTAAATGGTTGATATTGGTAAAATGCCGAACATATCGAAATTGAATTTAACTAATTTGGAAGCGCTGACTAATAAAAAAAATATGTTAAGATCTTGGCTCTACCTTGTTGTTTGTTTCTTTAATGCTAGTACAGGTAAGCAAGTGAAATTTCCTTATTTTTTTCTTTTACACGTGGAGTCGTGGACTGCTGCAAAGATTTTCAAGACTGGTAATTTCTGCTTAAATAAAAAGACACGGATCTTAATGCGACATTTATTAATGAGTTACATTATGTACTCACCTATTCTGTACGGTAATTCCTGTGTGGCTCAATAAAAATACTTTAGATAGGTCTAGTCACGCTTAACTCACTCAATGCCTGAGCTATGGGTAACACGGGAGGGTGTTTTGTAACGTCATATCAGCGAGACTTCAGTGTGCTTACCATGAGTTTACGTTAGGTGTGCTCGCTAGCGACTACGTAAAAAAATTACATTAATTATATGACATATTGTGCAGCGCCCCTAGCGGCTACTTTCAAGAAACAAAATCTTCATAGAGATTTTTGACGTACTCGCTAGCGAGCACACCTAACGTAAACTCATGGTAGGTGCACAGATCTTTTCTCTTTATGTTCTCTGTCACGTCATAATATTATGTCAATGTTAATATTGTCACCCCTCCCATGCCGCTTCTATGTCTCAGGCACTGACTGAGTAAAGCTATAGTCACTCAGCCAGTCCGACCCATTCACCGTTTGGCTATCGTGGCTATAAGTTGTAAGTAATTTAATTGTAATAATGTTTTAGAACTTCCTTTGTAAAATGATAATAAATAAAAAAATAAAAAGAGCAAATCTAACCTTCAAATTTTTTAAGTGAATAAATATTTTTGTGAATATGTTATCTTAAAAAAACTATGTGGAGTTTTTATTAATTAAAAAAAAAACACACTAATCGTCTCGTGTAAAACCCCCACAAGCTTACGAGACTAAGGTGGCCCCAACACCCGCTTTATTTTGGATTGTTCTCCGCTGCACGATTACATAAGTATAACTCGAATGTTCCGATCAAATTGTTACAGGATTTGTTGTGTAATACTTGCTATTGTTATTGCAGTACACGATTTGTTGTGTAACGTAAATGTGACTTAGATTTACGTAAGAATTTATTGTTTGTGAATTAAGTAGTTAGCAGCTAGGGACTGGAATCCGTTGCCTGCTGCTGTCTTTTCAAGGCGAGTGTGAAGAGGCACTTGCAGGGCAGATAATTACCATCATAGACTGCATCCCACTTAACATCAGGTGCGATTGTGGTCAAATACCTGCCTTGTTATGCATAAAAAAAGATTTTTGCGTGTCATTTTTAAGTTGTAGCATTATTAAGATAAACAATGTTCTTAGTTCGGAATAGGGAAATATTTTATTAAGCCTAGGTAACAGTAACAAAGTTACTTAAAAATATCTACTTACACCAACTAATTGGCTAGACTTATCTAATTACAAAAAAGAAAACATGGAGTTGATTATCGTTCGTTTCAGCC